CTATGACTTCTTCCGTGAAGCCCGTGAAGCGTGTTATATGGTGGGAGAGACCGTGAGAGTGGAGATACCAGAGAAGAGATTGCTCAGCCACTGTAAACCAGAGCAAGGGTAACTTCCACTGGATGAGATGTGATAAAGGATTCCCATGGTTAGCCTCTCACACATACTCTCCAAATCTCAATAAGGGAAAACATTAGATGGAGTCTAATAAAGGGGTATCTTGTATTACACATGAAAAGCACTTTTCAAAATGATCAAAACCATCCAAAAATAGAGTCTGAGGCACGACTCTAGCCAAGAGGAACATAAAGTAGGTTTGACAAAATGTGCCATGGCATTCTGAAGGGAATTCAGGACAGAAACAGTGATCAGGTAAAAACCAAGACAAACTGGATGAAGGAAATCAGTCAATGATAACAAATGAATATTTGTTCATTAATTTTAACAAATGTAGCACATTTATGTAAGACATTAGCAGCAGAGAAACTGAGTGTCAAACACTTGCTAACTCTGTATTGTCTCCATAGTTTTTCTTGAAATGTAAAACCATTTTTAAAGTAAAAAAAAAGTATTAGAAATTAGTAGAGCCTTGTAAATAATTTTGAGAATCTTCTCTCAGTCCACTATGTTAAAAAAAGTTCTACTTCTAAAGAGAAATCAGTTTTAACATACTAAGTTATCTTGTCATGTTCCTTCTTTACCTTCAGTATTAGGAAGCTTAGAAATAAATGTACTAATAATTACATAGGACATTATATTTTCTATGAAGCTTCCAGCTTAAACTCTTTCCATTAATATTTTCACTCATTTCTAATGCTCAATAATTTCCACTTATTTTTATCTACTACCAATCACTGCAAATCTCTCTGAAGGGAAAAATTACATATATGAATAGAAGATAATTCTTCAAAAAGTTCATGGAACATGCATATTATAGAAAAATGAGCATATATTTTAAAAAACCTTTGCACAAAGAAAACGTCTGTTAATTACATTTTTTCATGAAATTTCTGAAGTCCTGTGGTTTATTTCTGATGATAAAAGTTTCCTTATTCAAACTTCTAACAATTTCTCATGCTAATCCAGACAGTTATTCAACTGCTAGAATGTGGCAAATTACTTAAAGTAAGTAGTCCAGTTCAATTCTTGCATTACAAAATAGCAGTAATGCCACCTGTTTTAACTGATTCTTGTGAGGATAATGGAGCTAATGTTTGTCAATATGCCTTGTAATCACAAAAGGCAGGCACTCAACAAATTATAATCACCATTCTTAATAATAAAACTTTAGTGACTATCTCATTAATAGCATGGAAAGAATGGATTTGAATTATAAAATAATCATAGGCACTGTAGTGAGTTTTCTCAGTGACCCAGATTTGAAAAATTAGCTGATAAATTCCAGAGAATGGAAAAAAATCAAAGGGGAGAAGAGAAGGAAATAGAAAAGGAGGAAGATGTGTTACCCAAGTCCTGTGCCAAAAATAAGTTTGAAGTTTTAAGACAAAGTGAAATCCAATCACTTACTAACCCTGACTCCACTCGAATAACAAAAAGAAGAAAAACACCCACTAGCTCTTTTGGCACTCATTTCATTAATGTCTCCCAAAACAATCACATCTAAAAGCCAAATAAACACTGAATATGAACCTCTCTTTGCCCCAGAGGATGCCAACTTCCTATTCTAGTACCCAAAGTTTTTTTGGCATTGGCACATTCAAATTCAGATCCCTGTCTGCCTTACTCTAAAGGAGCAGACAGACTCCTTAATTGTTTCCATATTAAATGTGACCTATATTATCCATGATGCCTCTCAAAGTCTCCTTCATGTCAAGAGTTACAGATGGGGACAGGAGACTTGAGCAAATCTTCCAGTCCAGGTTCTTGAGACAGACCATGAAGGAGATGTTGAGCCCAGCTCCTTCTGACACCTGGATTTCCCTCTTTCCACTATGCCAAAAGTGTAATATAAAGACTCTGCCACAATGGATAGATAAGTGAAACTAAATCAAATAACCAATTCATTTAAAAAATCTCTCAGCACTGTTAGAAACCTCTTCTGTTAACTCAACCATTCAGAAAACCTCCCAAGCAACAGATGCTGTCATGACATGACCATTTAAAACAAACAAACCAGGGAAGGAGAAAAAAACATCCAAGAAACCACAGAGGAGAGAGACACACATGCATGTTGTCAGTAGACCCGGGGATGGGGTGACCACCTTGGAAACCAGAGGAAGTTGGGGCTCTGGAAGACAGGCTCACAGGTGTGGGTGTCAGGGTATTAATTTATACCAAAGAAAACAGTGAGTCATGAAGGGCACAGAAATAAACAATGTCAAGGATGTCTGGAGAGCCAACAAATCACTTTTAACCATTAAATTTTCTGCTACTTCAAGGTTTTCGTTGTCATGGGTAGGGATGAAAGCACTTAGACATGTTAACAAGTCAACAAGAATGCCTCCATTTTTAAACTGATCAAATTCTTTAGGCTTCCAAAATACTTCCAACTCCTCACAGATATGGAGTACCTAAGAGTCACAAGCTATGAGATTTTTAAATATATCCTGTGAGGCAATATTGTCAAAACTTACCACACCATGTAACCAACTAGTACATTTGTTAAGCAGACAAAATGCCAGGGTTTGCATAGAGATTCTGACCCAGTACACTGAATGCAGCTTTAATAGGATTCACACAACAAGCTTGCAGGTGGGTGTCATGATCTCATATGATAGATAGGAAGAATGAGACTCAAGGAATGGAAGAGACATGGCCAAGGTGACCCAAGCATTGGTGAGGCAGAAACAGGGCCTAAGAACCACACTGTGCTATCACAGAACATACACATACCACTAGGGTAAATCTATCCAGGCCAGGGCGCCTGCAAAACATTCAATCCTGGGTGTCAGAATATGGTTATTACACTCCAAAAATGAAAGTGTAGAACCTCCAGAGGCAACAGAAAGAAACAGGGAAGAAGCCAAAGTGCTGAATTTAACAATATTCTGAAAAAAAAAAGAAGAAGAAGAAGAAGCCAGGTCTTTCTTTCACCTATAAAATTGTTCTGTTCTCAAAGTTTATAGACTTTGGGGTATTTCCTGTACACACAACTACTACCACAGCTTTGATTAATAGATCCATGGGGCTAAAAGGATAAAAATATTCTTCCAAGGGCCACACAAGTCAGGAAAAAAATAGAGAAAAGTATTCTCAAATAACTGAGCAATTAGTGTCACATCAGAAGAGAAATGTCCAAGGTGATGTCTGCACCCACACACTGCCCTCCACACTGGTGATAACTGTTAACAGTGACTAATTATGTCATCCAGGGTAAAGTTCAGACCATTCCTCCAAAGCCAAAGTGAGAAAGGTAAAGCGCTGAGGATGGTTAAGGTCATTTTCATGGGCAGAGAGACTACTTCAGCCCCTTGGCTACTGATCATTTCACTGGGCAAGGGTTGGGACTGACATGAAAAATGATGTGTTTGCGAAGCATGTCATTCATTATCTCCTTTTGGTAGCCTGTGTTGCCCAACTTACATGCTTATCAACTTGCTACAAAAAAGTCCTAAATCCTAGAAAATTAGGTATATGGGAAGAGAATGGGGAAGCTGTCTATATGTAAAACAGATGCAAGCACACACATACCACCACCACCACTACAACATACACAAACCAAGGAATTGACTTTAAGATAGAACACCTGCCTCCCTAATTTATATGGGTTAAGCTCAACTTCAGGAAAAGAACCTGTTCCTCACAGGATCAAAAAGACCCCACCCCATCCCACTAAATCTGAGGTCAAGAGAATAACAGACTTCCCATATTTAGAGATCATCTGTCTAACCCACTATATATAATCATGTACCCACTGGTTCTCTTTATTATAGCAGACATAATTTCAAACACAATGAGTACTTTGTGAAAGTCTTATGTAACACATACTTTTTTTTTTAAAGATTTATTTTATTTTTATTGGAAAGGCGGATATACAGAGAGGAGAGACAGAGAGGAAGATCTTCTGTCCAATGATTCATTCCCCAAGTGAGCGCAACAGTTGATGCTATGCCAATCCGAAGCCAGGAGCCTCTTCCGGGTCTCCCACGCGGGTGCAGGGTCCCAAAGCTTTGGGCCATCCTCGACTGCTTTCCTGGGCCACAGGCAGGGAGCTGGATGGGAAGTGGGGCTGCCGGGATTAGAACCGGCGCCCATATGGGATCCCGGGTGTGCAAGGTGAGGACGTTAACCACTGCGCCATCATGCCGGGCCCAACACATACTTTTAAATTCACAATTTATTGACAAATAGGGGTTCATATAAACACACACACACATGTACATGTCTATAGCATGGAATGATATCAGTGCATGTATATAAAAAACAAAATATGCTTAATCATCTTCATCTAATTAAAATTATTCTGCTTGAACAACATAAATATGCATATGATTATATAATCACATGTAGATACTTAAAATGGAATTAAAATATATTTTGGTGCAAAATAGTTTTGAAATCCATGTTAGGTTTTTCATAATACACATTTCTGTGACCTTTTTGAAAATCCTTTTACATATGGATTTCAGAAATTTTTGTATCACAAACACATTTATCTCTAAATTCTATTTTACATGAGCATTTTAAACTATATGTGTGCATGCCTGTGTGTGTGTACTCCTTTTTTTCAACATGTAAAAACTACCTTTTGAAATATAGTTACATTCACTGTTTTTCTATTTTTCACATCTCCTTCAAGTATGTCCAGCTGTAATGAATGAGTCTCACATTGGATAGTCACATTCCAAGCCTCATAAGAACAATGGTGCTTGGCCATGTGCATTGGAGGTAGAAGATAGATTCAAGATGTTTCAACTGTGCAAAATCACATGCAGATGTACAAACAGTATGTCCAGTCAAAGAGAGTTAAGAAAGCAATATATATACAGACACCCGAGAACGGACGAGCACAAATAAAATCCAACTTGTAATTAACATACCGTGCTGTGACACCTGTTGCCTTCCACGATAAGAAGTCTGGGAGATCAAAGAAATGTCCCGCCTTGTCCCAGCAACTCTCTCTCAAGTTCTGCCAAATTAAATATGCATTAGAATCAATTACAGGTTTTTTTCTGGCCCTCTACTCTTTCAATAATGCTCCAAAATCATTCAAAACAAAAATATAGCCAATAATGTCCACAAAAACTTTCCTTCACGAACTCAGATCGAGAAAAATTAGAATGTGAAAGTGGTACTTAGGAAAGAGAAAGTGGCAATTATTGGTCTTTCCAAAAACGAGCATAATTTCCTTGTTACCCCTGTCTGCCAAGCTGGAGGGAGAGAAAGAGCACACTCTGGGAGGGCACACAATTTGTCTCCAGCAAATGGTGAGAAGATATGCCTCAAGACATATACTAACATTTTAATAATGAGTAGCTAGAACGAACCAAGAAATTACCCAATGAAACTAACTATGCCTTCCCACACGAAATTTGCCACATGATAACTGGTTCCAAAAGCAATAGAAAGAATGGTCCCTGCCCTCAAAGAAGGTCCAGTCTAAGCCAAAGAGAACAGTCAGAACAGTCATATAATGAAACCATTGTCTTAAATCTTTTCTGTATTTACCACATCGCCAAATAACCAGATCTATTGCTGCTAGGCATTTTCTTTCCCCAGCCAATGCTGTCTGAAACATTCATTCTTCATCTGACACCTTCTTCACTCACGGGACACATGTCCTCTGCTCTCTTTGGCTAATCCTACCCACATTTCTTGAGGAAAACTTCCAGACTCTTCTACCCGAGGTTATGAGTGGCTATAATGTCATCTCACAATGATTTGTACAAGGTCCTTCTTTCCTCTTAGATTATAAACACTATGGAATCAAGGACCCTGTTAATCTTCATCATGAGAATATCCAATGGTCATCTCCTGAGTATATTCTCAGCTGCTCTACAGCAGGAAGCATCATTTGGCCCATATACAGCCCACAAAATAATTTGATTTGGCCCTGCTGAGGCAACTGCTGGTTAGACTTGAAGTTCAATAAATCATTATCAGCCTAATTTTTAAGTAGGTAAATTTGTGTTGCCTACAAATGATGTTACAAATATACAAGTAGCCCTTGCCATTAAAAAAAAAAGAGTTCTCTCTTCCAGTTATTGGATTGAAACAGGAATGACCATGGGAGCTACCTAACTTACCACATTAGCGTCTTTCTCATCCAAATGTAACCTTTTAACTTTCCCTATGCAATGAACTGGAATGATATAAACTTGAAAGCCATGAAATGGCCCTTTTTCAGCATCTCTAGAGAATTACACTTCATAAAGACAAACTGCCTAGGCAACTTTCCAAGTCTTAGTTTAACTTATTCTCTCTAGAAAAGGTTACAAAGAGAAATTTTTTATAGGCACAAGAGTATCTTTGGGATTTATAGGTAACAATGAAGAAACTCCAAAAAAGACATACCAGGACAACATACGCTAGGCACTGAAAACATGTTTGTTGAAATACTAGACAAGCTGCTTAGTTTTACCATCCAAACCTTCATATGAGCACTATACTGCATGACAATCTACAAGGGAATTCCACAAGTGCTACCTCCTTAGTACTAGTACACCTATTGTACAAACATACCATTGGCTTTTACCTACCCTTACTCTCAAATTATGAGAGTTCTTCCTACTTCTGGCTTCCAGATCAGTACTATGTGATCATATACATCTAAGCAAAGCAGATAAATAAGTATTTGTTTAAGAGTAGTCTCATTAAAACAACAACTTCAAACAGGTGCAGATATGAAAGGCAAACTAGTAAGCTAGTCTCTGTCATTGTTGTTGTTAAATTCCTAATCATTTGAGTGACAGCTTTTATCTACAAAAGTACCTGGCCTAAACTTCTGATTGAATATCCATATGCTAATTTTAAATAAAACAAACTTTAAAATTTGTAGATATGATCAACAGCTGTGAGCTAGTAGTATCAGTGTAGATCAAAAATCTCATGGAAAACAAGATTACAAGATAAATTTCTATGAGCTAAAATATATACACATATATTTTAAATCCACATTTTTTCAAATTGTAGATTTCCCATAAACTTTCTAAAGTTCTCTAATATCTCTAAAACATTGTCTAACAAGTCACTATCAGAAAATGGTAGCCTTTGAAGCTACATGAATCAAATGAACAGGACGCTTTTGACCAGTCTTAGAAGTCTATTTTTATGTATTCTGTGGTTTCAGTGATTGGTGGTTAGAAAAAGGGAGGAAAGGCGGCCTCTTTCCTAGGGTCCCAGAAATCCAATTCCAGTCACCAGACATCAACCACCAAACCACTAGACAAAAATACAGCGCATCATGCCAAAGTTAAACAATCATCCTACACGTACAATAGATAGATAGATAAATAGATTAGATAGATAGATAGATAGATAGATAGATAGATAGATAGATAGATAGATAGATAGATAGATAGATAGATAGATGATAGACAGATAAATGAAACTGCTTCTGTTAGATCTTGTATAGTGCGATGGATGACCTAGGGAAATGAGAGCTTTCAGCCTGTGGCCATGCAGACAGCCAATGTGAACAATGGAATCCAAGACAATGTTTTGATTGATCAGGATTTTACTCTGTTGGCTTTGCCTTCAGACCAGAGAAGGTCTCCCTAAGAAACCTGGAACTTATCTGGATGATAAGATGTTGGACTCTATGCTTGGTATATGCTTACAATGAAGGAATCTCAACTGTACTTGATTTCCTCAGCAAGGCGGAGGAACCCACCATGGGGAAAGGGTTATGGGAGGGGTGAGAGGAATCCCAGTACCTATGGAACTGTGTCACATAAAACAATGTTATGAATAATAAAAAAAAAAAGAGAGAGAGAGAGAATGTTTCAAAGGAAACCTCAGGCTTTTTGCCAAAAAAAGTAAAAAATGAGGATACAAGAGAGGGATCCAAGCCTACCTCCCCACACAAGAAGGCACAGGCTGCTAGCAGCATGAGACACACTGAGGCTGCTGTGGTGGCACAGTAGATGATGCCATCCCTTATGATGCCAGCATGCCATATAAGAATGCTGGTATACAACACAGTGCCTATACTTCTGATCCATAACGCACCTTGGAAAGCAGCAGTTGACGGCCTTAAATACTTGGACTCCTATCACCCATGTGAGAGAACAGGATGAAGTCCCTGGCTCTTGGCTTAAGCCTTCAGTAGCTCTGCCTTTTGAGGCCATTTTTGGAAAACCAGTGGCTAGAACATGAATTTCTCTTTCTGTTTCTCTCCTTCTGTCTGTGTCATTCTGCCATCAAATAACTTTTTAAAGAAAGAGAATTATAAAATAGCCTAAACTATGCATATGTCTTAGAGGAAAAGCCAGCAGGATTTCTTCGTTTCTTAAGAAAATCCAAGCCTGGAGGTTTATCAGCAGAGAAGGGAGCATGCACATGGGGCATATCCATGGAATTTGATCCATTTCCAAGAGATGCTGATAGAATGGCTGGGAGGTTCTTCCATGGGGCTCCATAATTCCAAACACTTTGTCATGAAATGTTAGCTTGGTGAGGGGAGCATGTGCTCTGGCAGACAGATTTTTAATACAGTTCTGTGGGGGGAAAAACATGTCTTTTTCCTTCCTTGTACCTGATCACCACAGTGCTGGCCAAGGGGCTCAATCTCACTGAAGTAATTCCATTCCTGTAATCCCTTAGGCCTGAATTAAAACACAAAGATGGGGTTCTTACATCTCCACCTATACCCTACCTCATTTGAAGCTCAGAGTGGTTCAGGGGTGGGCAGCTGATTGAAAACACAATCATACAAAAAATGTAGGCACTGACTGCTGAACTGCCAGGGCTTGGCCTAAAGTCATCTATGGCTTCTGGCTTTTGTAAGTATTCTCCATGTCCACTGTGACAGCCACTCCCTGAGGGTGTCCATCTAGCAGCTGTGGGTTTGGGCTTTCTGGAAACTACTGCCACTCTTTACAAAGTCAAAAGAAAAGACAAAGAAAGACCAAGGAATCCTGTTAGCTTCTCCTCTGAGACCATATGCATGCTTAAGGATATCTCCTAATTCTCTTTTAAAAAAAATACTTACTTGTAAGGCACAGTGACAGGCAGAGGGGAGAAACCGAAGGAGAAGTTCATGTTAAATCTGTTGGTTATGAACATTTCTATGCACACAATTTCAAACATTACAGAGACTTGGATTTCTTCTGTGCAACTTACCTTACTTCTATATATCTAACACACCATCCATGCACACACATTTAAGGGTTAGAGAGTCCAGGGCAGGCCTTCAGCACATGCCAACATAGTTCTATTTCAATAACACAACTTAATCCAGGTCAAACCAGTAGTTCCCTGTGCTGGAAGAGTTAAATCTTTCTGTCCTCCTCTGGTTACCAAGCAACTGACAAAAACTAATCTTCTGGAGGAAAAAAAAGAAATCACCAGTGATCTGGGGTGTATGACTTGGCAATAAGGGCTTCTACATTCCAATAACAATCCTTGGTGCTAAGTAATCCCCCAGCATGAAAGCAACCAGAAAGAGCAGCTTTTTTCCCTCGTTTTTATTTTAATAATCAGTTTCTTCATAAAACCCCAGCAGCGAGCGACATTTCTTGGGAAGAGGCTACTACTCCAAGCTCCCACAACTGCGGGCTCAGCTGAGGGTGTGGGTAGAGTATTTACACCCAAGATCTAAAGCAGATGGCCTACCAGTCCCAGGACAGAAGAAAGCAGTTTTGGCCTCCACCTTGCCACTGTAAGATCTGAAGTGCCCATATAGTTTCTGTTGCTTCTAGAAGGCAAGGGAAATTGAAAAAAAATAATAATAATAAGGCATCCATTGCAATGACATCATGGTCTTGGAACAACATGAAAAAATAGCTATGCCCAGTTCATAAAAGACCATCTCAATACTGAATTGTTCATTGCAAAAGGGATTCCATCAGAGCTGTCTGCTGTGGGCAGTGAATCAAAGGGAAGGAATGGAGCTATGTAACTCCCCATCCAAAAAGTGACACTGCCTGCACAAGTCCTCATGATCTTACTTTCCAGCACAACTACCCA